CCTTACGCAGTTCGAGCTTATCCAATATTTCACCCAAATAAGGTATAGTTACAATTATTTCTTCTTATTTAACTTTCACTTTATTCTTTCTTTCCCAAAATGGTGTAGCAAACAATGCATAATCTTATATTTATGCGAACGATAACCTTATAAAATTAGGACACAGTGGAGCCCCAACCACGTAGTTTGACAAAGTCAGAAATTTCGACATGCAATCTTACATAGGCGATCACCCATTGAGCTAACTAACAGCTGCCGATTATATCCAATACATAAGCCGCATTTGCCGATTACGAAGCCGTCTTTAACATATTAGAATGAAATTCGCGTCAATGAGCGATCTACAGTAACCCGCATGATCTTACGAAAGCAGATTGTGCATGTCCACACGATTAAAGTGGTTTTATGGCGTAGCACATTTATATAAAACCTTGAACATAAACAAAAAGATCAGTTCTCCTTTAAAATAAGCACAAATCTCATATGTGATCTTTGGAAAACAACGTCAAGCTACCGTAACCTCTCGGTGACGCAAAGCAAATTAATTTTAAAATGCTAGTGAGCCACCCTAAGCTAGCGGCATTCGAACTCAGAAAAGACCATGAATAGATCGGTCGCTTGCTGCGCTTTTGCTCTGCTTCTGCTTGTCCATTTTCACTTCCATTGGCTAGCCAGGTAAGTTGACCCATGACTTCTACCCAGTCAAGAAGTGACTTGATGGGTAGTCTATTCTCTTAGCTTTTTGTTAAAGCCTGAAGATTGGGCCGAAAATGATGTTCCGATTTCATTTGTTTACTTCCTTGAATTCATTCTTGCTCTGCCTCGTGTTATACTGTTTCTGTTGACTATTTGAGAGCATGATGATGCTCGTATGAATTGAAAAAAAAATTCTTCACAAGTTACCTCATTATCTCTACAGCTTTCAATTTCAAGCATCCGCACTTTGTCGAGAAATTTGCCTTCAAACCCGTGCGCGCAAGTCAGCCTTTCACGTATTCGTACGAGCTTTCGATTTCCGTCCCACCATCGGAGGCGGTATGTCGCATATAACCGTCACGGTCCCGCAACGACTCTGCATTTCCAAATATGGCGGAATTTGTTTCACTCGTCCGTATTTAGAATGAAGTGCCTCGTTAAGTGCTGTTTTAACTATTTTCGCGCTCTATAGTTGGATTTTTGTAAGCATTTCGCAATATCAAGTGCGAAATATGCTTTGGATGGTAATAACTCTTTTGTGAAATGTTAATCATTTGGGAAATATCCCAAAAAATCTATATACCTAGATTTGCTCGGTTTGCCCAAAAAGCTTCTTCGTTAACTAGCAAAGTTAGAAATTTGATTTTTGCAATTCTGTTTTCAAACTTATTATGTTCTAAGACGAGCCCTGATCTATGTAAACGCTACCGAGTTTCTGCACATAGTTTCGCCAAAAAAAACTGTTAATGATGTATTTTCGCTCCTGATCAAAACCTTTTGCAACCTTCACAGCCTGTAAATCCCATTCTCCCTAAAGATATTGCGTCTAGTCCTAAAAAAGTCATCTAGCTATCGCTTGAATTTTAATCTTGAATTTTTGAGCAAATATGGTCTCATGAGAAGGAAAAGTTTAAGCACGGCGTGGTAGAGACACCGTTTTTCTTGCACTTTTCAAGTAATTCATATAAGCTCGCTTCGAGCAATTGTGCTTCAGAAAGCTGGTTTCTTTATCGAAAAGCTGAGCGTATCAGCAAGCTTGGTCTCGCGAAATGCAAAGTTCGGCACACTGCAGATCATATTGTTAGCGATTTTCAGAGCAGAACATAGCTGTGGAAATCTTTATCCATTCAGATTCATTGATTTTGATGAAAACCAGCTTGATAGCAGTCGATCTTGCTTAGCAAGTGAACATGATTGAAAAAGTAGGAAAAGTCATGAGTTAGCCTTATTTCAGTGTTCTTGGAAGGAAGTTATGTCTTAGCATCTGAGTGAACGGTACTATTGCGCTGCGCCTCTAGTCCATAAATTCGTCAAATCAGCTGTGTTATACTGGACTGTATCCGACGTGGTCTTCAAAACATGAGATTGCATATAGGTAAAACCTTTCCATAGCCCGATCTTTCCAGGCTCTTTTTGAAGCTAAGCAAATGCCGACTTCGTGTTTGATTTTGTGCCAGACAGGTTTTTACGGTGGATATATATAGGCTGCTGCATGACGAAGGCGCAATATCTTTGGGCGCGAACGCGCTTTATTAACCGCAGGGCGCAGGAGGCGCAGGATTTATAACGGTGAGGATACGCGCGCACCGCATTCGCGCCCGCTCAACTAATACTGCTATTGCGCCTTCGTCATGCAGTAGCCTTTATATTGCATTACATTTCGACAGGTATTGCTTCGCGAAAAATCGCTTACGTGTCTGTGTGGTCTTTGACTTAACTGCGAAATTATGTACCCAGCGGTTTTGTACATATTGTGGATGACAGAACGCTTCAGATCTGTGAGAACAACAACGTTCTAAAGCTTTTCTTTCGGTACCAGTTGATCTAGATAGTACCGCAAGAAGGTGCAGAGCATGAGGCAGTCTCCATTGCGTGTCGTCCGGGCAGACGTGTCGTTTTTGTCCAATCCGAAAGGCGCCCTGAGTACCCTGACTTCGTTCTTGCTACCACCCGGCGCCGTAGGCGGGATCCGATGTACAGGGTTTTTTTCTATTCTTCTAACTGGAGGAGTAATATGAATTTTTACTCTACAAGAGGTGGCTCACTAGGCCTACTCTTGATTTCCACGGGGCGATCGCTGACCCCGGGCTTGGAGCGGGGAGAACCGCCTAGCGACCGAAAAACCAGACGGCGGTGGATCTGGCGTGGCCAGTTCTTAGCTAGGCATCCGGCCGAAACCGGAAATGTCGAACTCCTTCACAGCTTGGGAGGCTCTGCCAGAGTATTCACTCGGCTGTGCATCGCAGTTCGACACCCATTGTCACCCCCACGCCACGATGAGGCGGCCGACCATTGTGGGGGTACCAAGCATAACTAGTAATATACTCGTGATCACCATGTCAAATAATCCTTGTGACCCAAGTAGCGAATTCCGGAGGTTCCCAATATCGAGCCACCCAAGTGGCCATTTTTCAAACATGTTGAACGATATTCCAAAAGTGAATTAGCTACCTCTATTTGTACTCGTACAAAGCACTACTCCATGTTCGCCTATACCATGGATCTTGCTTTAAATGACCATCAAACTATGGAGTTATAAGTCAGCCAAACTCTCGTTTGTCCCATTTCCTGCTCGCAGTGGTTGAGCTTCGAGCAACTATTGTTCAAATGAAAGAAGATGAATTCAGCGCTAATCACTTCCACAGTGACTACGAGACTTTGGCTATCGAAATTTATATTATTTGTTCATTAATCTTCTCTCTGAAAATAAGTTAATGGGGTGTGGCACAACCCCAGAAAAGCTGTGGTTGCCACAGCTTTAGGGTTGTGTGCCACACCCCATGAACTGTAAAAACATTGTAATACCTGCTTTTTTCATATTGTTGCTACAGCTTAACCTTCTCCTTTGTACAGCAGGAATTTCACCTGAAATCGCTCTTTCTAGGGTAAAATATAGTCGTTTTTCCTTACCTATGCAAATGGAAAATACTGCAGAAATATTGAGTTACCGTAACATACTAAATCTACGCTACTACGTGAATCGCAGGGGAAGGCTACAAAATGAATATATTCGATAGTCTAAGCCTCGTAATGCACTAAAGTGATTTGAGCCTGATTGGTTTTTTCTAGTGTGAGATACTGAAAGCGAAAAATGAAACAGACGAGATTTTGGCTTGTTCCTAACCCTTAATTTGTAGGTCATTCAAAGTAGGATTCCTAGAGTAGGCAAAGAAGTGGTAGCTCTTTGTATTAAGTGCAGAAAGAAGTATGTAACTCACCTTAGTGAACATGATCGAAAATGACCATCTCACTTGAGTGCTTCAATTTTGGAAACCTCAGAATTCGCTGAAACTTGGCCCAAGGGGTTATTTGACATGCTAATTACAAAAACGATACTCGTATGCTTTTATAGATCTTTTATTATGCTTACTCACGAATACGATGGTGGGGCAAAACATCAATGTGCCAGTATCTTGCATGAGGGGCATATCTGACATTGTTAACGAATATCATGTTATTGCTAACATCACAATCACCTTGATAACGACCCCCCCCCCCTCTCCCTGACCCCTCACTACGACCTCCTAGGTGTGGCTTGCCACACCCACGCCTGACCCTGATGTGATGTCCGTCACAGTCGTGCGAGCTGCTCCTCGGTGGATCAAACGCTGGTGGCTCTCATCGACTAGCCAGAATAGATCGCAGTCTATAGATATAATGAGTAGCAGGGCCTGGCACCAGCTGGCACGGGGCAAGCTGGACTTCGTTTTTGGGACAGAAAACAAAAGGGATACCGTTGCGTTTTTTTCAGTCGACGTTTCGTTTTTGGAATTTTTTACATTTAGGGTTTGGGATGAAAGGGGACATCGTAGAAATTAGCGAAAACAAGGGGGACTTCGTTTTGAAAATTTCCTGGTGCCAGCTCGTGCTGCCGAGCTCTAGTGAGTGATTGCATTCGATGAGTATGATCACTATGATCTGCACATAGAATAGCTCCTACGTAAAATTTAAGCATACCTAAGTGGCCTTCTACCGTATACTTACCGTACTTCGATGAATTGCGGTAATACTTTACATTATAAGACTTGACTCACTGATGAGCACAATGTTTGTTCCGAAGTTAGATTCATGCAGTTTGAAAAAGTTGAGGGATATAATGAATTTTGTTAGCGTTTCCGAAATGCCGCACGATTAACGAAATAACTCGAGACTTCTCGCATTTGCAAATACCGCGGATTGTCGCAACAATTTTGGAAACTTCACACTCTTTATGAACAGTTTTGTATTATAACATGTTTTGTAGGTCATATTAAGGGATAAATTACATTTTGAAACGAAACTTTATGGAGCAACGATAAAACATACCCTAGCGACTTCGTTCAACTCGGTTTTACCAGAATGCAATTTTATCAAGCTACAACAACCTGCCGAAAATTTATCAATCCACGTAAACACTTTCAAAACAACTATAATCTCCAATATGGAAAGATATGTACGATTAATAAATGACCGAGCTCATCGGGATATATGAAAAGACCGGATGATGTCCGGAATACTACCCAATTCTCAGTCTCCTTCAAACTGCTTGCTCTTTCAAGTATGAGTAGCAACAAAAGAAGAAACATGCAGCTGAACACTAAGACCATTGAAAAAATCGCAAAACAATTTACACTGAAGTACAAGGCGAAAGCAAAGGAGGACTGGAAAGGTGAAAGAGGAGTCATATTATGACATAGCGCAGAAAAGTACTACATACTAAAAACATATATAACACTCGGATTATTATGAGGTTAAGAATTAGGAAGTGAAACTCTACCTAGCAGTAAAGACCTGTGACGAGAATGCATGATATAAAGTGTAAAAATCTCGGCGAGCACATATATCGGCACGACAAGGCTAAGAAGGAGGAAGACGAGCAACCTAGTGACAGTGTGAACACGACAGAGAGGAGGTACGGTACTTTGAGACCAACGAGGATCCTGGTGACGATGGTGAACCGTCTAGTTCTCTACCTCAACATCCAGCTCATTATGAAGATGTAGAGAGGTGAGAAAATCACAGAGCTTTGACAAGTAGTCTTCTGGGCGGAATTCCGATTCTGTACGAGGTAGCGCTTCACCCATATACGATAGCATCACGAGTAACTGATCCTAAACATGCTTATGTAGTCTCTAATCCGTTCAAATCACTACATATGCCCAGAAAATTTTATCATAGATGTTCAAACAAATTATCATTAAGTTTTCAAACTGTTGCTAAGGCGGGGTTCAGATTTGACCGCAGGCCAAAGCTGTGCCAGCGCCGTTTCAACGCTGTGTCGGCGCCATACCAGAACGTTGATGGATCATGGGTGCGCACGCATGGGTTCCGACATGGCGCTAGAATCGCGCCGGAACGGTGACACAACGATGGCATGAGAAACTGTGGAGACAGCCTAAGCTTGCTTTATTTAGAACTTTCTTATCACAAACCTTGACTCGAACAAGTTTGTCGGCGACCTCTTCGACGCGGCGTCGCATCTCATTCAGACGTACAGCCAACACAGGATGTTCAAAGTCTAACTGCTCCAGTTCCAACTGGACATGCTGGTTTCCTTCGTCCAGTTGCAGAAGCGAAGCATAGAGAGACAAGAATGGTTCTGAAGAGATAAATGGCATGAAACATTTTTTTCACTTCTATCTGTAACATAAGTTTTGTTACACTTCCTTTGTTTTCTTTTGGAAAACAAAAAAAGTCGGAATCTCATGAAGGTACCAAAAAAAACAAGAATTGCGTTTTTCATGTCCACCTCACGTTTTTGAAAATGAGAGATCCATCAAATTTCAAGTCGGCCGTCTATAAATCTTGGCATTAATCTTGTGTCAGCTGATGTAGCGAAGGCCAGATAGGTAGATAGATTTATTGGGCTAACCGTAGAGTTAATCAGCCGCTTTGCGATATCAAGGATACCCACGTGTAAATGAAGATTGTTGCTCATCCAACAGGCGTGTATCGCAATATTTACTACTATTCATTGTTATTTATTTATTCATTTCCAAGCTCTGAAGGTTTGCCTAACAAATCTATTCAGCAATCTTTGCCTCCGTTACATCAGCTGACACAAAATGGGAAATCTCTCAAGAATTTCAAAGCATTTCTTAAAACTGTAATAAAATTTACCTACGACCTGATACTCGCTATCAATTCCGTATTTTTATAATTGTCTTTTTACCCCCATAACAATACGCGAAACATCTAATATATCCACGTCCTAAAGAAATCACCTTCAGAGGCTTTCTTCAATGGTTCCACCAGATCAGCTACATCTGTAGCATGCGGTGCTCGATCGCGAATGAACGATGCAACCGTTTGCAGAAGCGAGGATCCTCCAGAAATTGGCGACGAACATATCTGAATATTGTGTAGATTTGAATTGAGAAAAAATCATAAGAGGAGCTGGGGCATGTACTAGCATAATTACAGAACTATTCATAAAGAAATATTATAGAGGGTGATAATCATTGTTGAGCAAGAGGTTAGGCACAAGTCTTTCAAAAACGACCCCCTTCCCCTCGTGGAAGCCCTTAAACGACCCCTTTTTCCTCCTCTTAACCTCCGCAACCTCGAAACGTAATATTCTGGAAGACACCATCCTTTCCTAGGGGTTTTTAGATTTTTGAGAACTGTACTCCGATTTTCTGTTTTTGCACTTTACAATTACACGTAATTTTCCTAATTTTGATCTGGACGAGCCTCTTGAAAGAGCCATAATTTTTCTAGGGGTGGGGCGTTCGACTCCAAATTTTCACTGTAGCAAGAAGGAGCTATAAGCCCAATTTTCATAGAAATGGAGCGGTTTCTGGATTTTAAAGGCAAGTTAATCGGGTCAGGCGCAACCCCTCAAAAGCTCAGGCGGCCTGACCTTTTGAGGGGTTGCGCCTGACCCAATTAACTTTATCACCGAAGAAGCTTTTCCACCCCAGTTTTATATAATGCGTTAGCATAAATCTCGAAGATTCTACAACAGGTGTTTGAGCTTACTTCGACATGTTTCGACTTTGTGGTGATCGGTGGACTTGAAGCACATGGTGAAAAACGCGCCGGTTGAAATTTTCGCAGCACTTCTTAATCCACTATTTGTAAGGGATATGAAGTCCAATTTCTGCCATAGACTAATAGAGAGAAATACTTCGTTATGAATACAGAGAAGCTGACTCCTTTCACTTTTGTGACCAAGTTGATCATGTTTGAAAATCATGCTTTTTAGACGTCAAGAAACACTAAAAATTGTAATAGGTAAGGTTAGTAGAGCTCGTTGAGGTAATTTGGCATGTTGATTACGGGAATTCATACTCAATTTACCAAAAGACTTCTTTGGTGACCTTATGGTATGTGTGAGGTAAGATAAAGGATTGAAATTCGGCTGAGACTTCGTTATTCGAGTAAATCAGCATGCTGTTCACGACAGTCATTCCTATGGTGAAATTCTGAGGTTCACGGTTGAGCTTTTTTCTGTTTCATCTTACTCGATCGTAGCATTTCCTCAATTGTTTGAGCAAATTCGCTGCTTGGTTACAACCCCCCCTCCCCTTGCTCTTACCCCCAAACGACCCCCCCCCCCCGGTCAGGCGCGCCCCTGACCCAGTGTTCAACCCTGATGATAATACAAAAATCGAAAAATTGATATTGTATACCTCCGCCAGCTGGCTAGTGCAGAATCCTCCGACCACTTTCTCGGCCATAGTGGAGCCGTTCAAGTGATTCAGCAAGGCCAGAATTGTTTGAACGATCAATCGCAGCTGCTCCGATTCTTGAACAAGTTTGGCTGCACACGAATACGCATCCAAATGCTGAAAATAGATAACCAATGCAGGGCCCTTAACCGTATGCATAGATGTTTTTCAGTGCTTATACTTACCTCATTGATGTTATCGATGATGCTGTCAAATTTGGCTGTGTGCACCATTGCTGTCAGTTTCTCTTCGGCTCTCTCTATGTTGGCCAACTAAAGCACCATTTAGAATTGACAATGATCACACGTTGTACGATGTCTGATTGTAAGCACTCTGCGTACATGGGTTTCTTATTAAAAACTGAATGGGAGGCTTTAACAAAGTCATCACTTAAGCGGCAGTTCATTTGATCTGGCCGAGAAATTTAACTGAGATGACTTGCCCGATAGCGTACTCTTTTCAGCAAAACGAATTAGTTTTCGAATATGGTATAGTACAGTCCAGGTTAGGCAAGGTCAAAGTTGAATTTCCCGGCCAGGAGTACATCCCTGAGCTGCCGGTTTTGAAATGCCTTAGTAAAGCCCTTCCACTTAGTATCTAGTAAGAAGGATAGGGGATTAGAAGATGCGCCTTCAAGGCTTTGAACTTACGTCGATGACAAACTGTTCGGCTTCTGTCCACTGATTATTTGGATGCGCAGCTGTGAACCGTCGGATACGCTCTACATCTGCAGCTGATGGCACAGCCTCCAGCACTAGCGAAGCTCGCTCCAGTGGCAACACCGTCATGTCCAGCCTGCCAACACTGAACCATACTGTTGGGTATACGAAAACAAATTTCACTACAGCTCTAGCAAGGCGAGCGGCAAGGAATTCAAAATTGAAAGCGTGGAGACAGATGTCTGCTTTTTTATGTGTAAAATATTTTTGGAGCGGTAGGCCAGTGTTCAGAGTTGCCCGTGCCGGAACGTTGATGGATCCCTACGGGGCGCATTCTAGATTCAGACACAGCTCTGGAGCGGTGCCGTAGTGCTGGCACAATCTAACTCTGGACGCCGTCCAAGATGTCAAAATGTGATGTATATAGATCTGTGTACTCAATATGATTTATATTACTTTCCCTCAGATGAGTGATTAGAGGTGAGGCCGATGTCTTCTAAACGTCTTCTACGTAATTTTATGGACGTTTTTCGCGAGTCTGGCTTATTTGCTTGCAATATCAACCCATTTTGCGATTTAAAAAAGTTAATCGTCTTTTACTGTACCTACCTGTGTATAGAAAACTCAATTTCGAATTTCTTCAAGTTGACTTGCTTCAACAGCTCTGATACCTTTTGCTGTTGTGCCTCGTCAAGTAAAGAGTTGTCGTCTTCAACTTGATCGTGCACGTACTGAAATAAAAGCATTGAGGAGATAATTTTATAGTTTTTTAGAACAGTTTGGGCTTGAGCAAGAAGGAAACTTTTGACGGTGCTTTCTTTTACGTTATACCAGTTTGGAACGTACAAATCTTTCACCTCAGCAACTTCTGATGTCAGCGCTGCAGGAGCTGCATCGAAGACAGTATCCTTCACCTGTTCCTCATCGAGAACAGTACATGCTGGGATTGCTTTCAGATATCTAAATAATACTTCTATGATCATTGAATCCATCCCAAAAAAATGTGAGGATCTACCTGGGTTGCACAGACTCTCCAGGTCTAGAGGTTTGTGGTCTCATGGACAATACAAAATTCGATAGTGTTCGTCCGCTAGTGGCTATAAATAACCCATCATTTCTACGTAGTAGGGACCGGCAACGAAAACCTTACATTTGTTGCGAACCTCTTCAGCTGAACCCGACGAAGATACGCCGTTGTCTAGAGAATCTGCGTTCTCCATCTTGGGAATCTGTAATGAAATGACGATGAGTGTTTGTATCTCATTTTGCAAATTTCGTAAACTACGACTACCTTACACTCGGGCTGATTTAGTTTTGGGTCAAGAACCGCAGAGGTCAATTTGTTGTTATTGTTGACCATTTGTGGGAAGATGGATAGTGGATTTATGCTGAAGATGATTTTTTGAGCAACGAAAGCAGATTTTGATTGACGACAACCATTCAAGAACAGATATGAAATAGCGAAAGCTGGTGACTACGTCATAAAATCATAAGAGCTCGGAATCAACGACTTGAGAAAAATTGTGGATTTATGCCTAAGAGCTGCATAGCTATTCCAAGCAAAAAATTCTCAGTTCTTATTTTCCTCCTTGTCGCTTAAGCAAAGGTTAAGCGCCTTTTAATGCTTATTTTTTGTGTTTTACCCAACATTAAAAATGTATTTTTGAGTGTGAACAAAGTGAATTTCTACGATTAATGTCAATGGTACAGTGATAGAATGATACGTTAGCTAACCCTTGAGCAGCAGCGAACAAAGCCTGCTGTTGCTGGAGAGCGAGCATCTCGTGTTGTGGAAGCACCATTGACGGACGACGAAGCCCAGAACTCTGCAAAGAGGAACTCAGGTATTTCTCGCCAGAGAAGGGGAGGGTTTCTGACCAAACTTAAGCCAAATGAAATACTTTCTTATCCGATGATACAAGGAAAGTATTTTCGATTAAATGATGAGGGATCAGCTCTTGCATAAGTCTTGAGCTGTACGAGGTTGCCTAATCATTTGTACCACTGAGATTTTGAAAAGAGCGAAAGAGCATCCTAAGCACCTTGTTTTGTATTTTTATGTCATCTACAGGGTGCCAGGATGCGTCAAATATCTGAAGCTTAAGTTGCAGAGTTGGATTTTGAGAATCCACCTAATTTAATTTCGTTTCTACGCCACATGATGATGCATCAGCCTTTACAAGATAAATTTTGGGTGAAAACGGTTGCCATACATTTTCGTGAGGACTGGCATATCAAATTAATACTTTCATAGAAGAAAAAGTTCAATTTTTTAGGTGTTTTCCACTTATTGTGTAGTTAGAGATAACGAGAATATTCTACAACAGTTTAGTGCTACATAGAGGAGACTTTGCGCTATTCATTGTAGTAGCTGCGTTTGCCAAAAGCTACTTTCTCGAAAACGGCAGATGAGAATCTGAGAATGTTATCTGCATGCAAGTGGCTATCTGTATTTAAAACGAAATTGAAAGCTATAGAATCGTTGCAGTAGCTGAATCTAGGGCTATATTCTTTCCACATGTTTAGATAGAACAGTTTCGATTATTTTCAGATGTTGTCCCTAGTCTTTCAAAATGTATTCAAATTTACCTCACGTGACTGACATGCCTTCAGTTAGCATTTCAATTTTTAATTCCCAAACTTTGCGAAAAAAACTCTAATTATGTTAGAGTCAAAAGCTTGTTCTATCATTTTGCACATCTTCGAAGTGAAAGAAGCAGTGCTTTGAAGGAGTGGTAAAATTTCGCTACAAATATTTATGTGCGACGCCAGGTGTCCAGAATGTTGTAGGCTTGCGCTAAAGCCAAAAGAAGCTATTTTAGATATGAAAACCGGGCTGTACTTGTAACTATCTGATCAATGTGTGCCCAAGATTTCGTTTTCAGGTACGTACTTCCTTTCTGTTTTCATCGAAAAATTGCTAGACTTCAGAATTTTGACGCAACCTATACGACCGCAATATTACCTGCTGACTGGTTTTTCGAGCAGAAGATTGAGGGCTTGTTGGTGAACGGGGAGACGACCGGCCTTGCATTGGACGACCACGACCACGAACTGAAACACGATTTGTAATAATCAGCAAGCACTGTGGAGCCCCAACCACGTAGTATGACATAGGCAGAAATTTCGACATGCAATCTTACATAGGCGGTCACCCGTTAAGCTAACTAACAGCCGCCGATTATATCCGATATATAAGCTGCATTTGCCGATTACGAAGCCGTCTTTAACATATTAGAATGAAATTTGCGTCAAAGAGCGATCTACAGTAACCCGCAATGATCTTACGAAAGCAGATTGTACATGTCCGTGTGATTGAAGTGGTTTTGTGGCGTTGCAGATTAATAAAAATCCTTGAGATTTCATAAACAAAGAGATCAGTTTTCTTTTTGAAATAATCACAAATCTCACATGTGATCTCAGGAAAAAACGTCAAGCTACAGTAACTTCTCGGTAACGCAAAGCGGACCAATTATCTGGAATGCTAGTGAGCCACCGTAAACTAACGGAATTAAAACTCAGAAAAGACCCCAGAAAGATCGGTCGCTTGCTGCTTTTCTGCTCCGCTTCAGCTCTTTGCCCATATTCATGTTAATTAACTAGGTAAGTTGACTCATGACTTTTACCTAGTCGAAGTGACATGACGTGATGTCCTCTCGTCTCACCCCTGGTGCCACCCGTTTGTTAGAGCTTAAAGAATAATTGGACCGAAAAAGATAATCTGTTTTGATTTGCTTACTTCTTTGAGTTCATTCTTGCTCTGCCTCGTCTTATGCTGTTTTTGCTGACTAATTGAGAGGACGCTGATGTGCTTATGAGCAGAAAGAAGAACTCAAAAGTTACACATAATTTCTATGGTTTTCATCTTGATTGATTGAATAATAGCACAACTTGACTTTTTCTAACTTTAAAAAGTGCCTAATTAGCGTGATCATGCTGCAAAGTAGACCCCATTCGCATAAGTTTGGTCAACCTTGTGACAGCAGCTCGCTGTTCCTGCCCACAATGAGCTAATTTGAACCAGCCTTTTTCTCACATTTATTTAGACTGCGTTGTCGCAAATTTTCGAGCATATAGCATGCCATTCAAAGGCAAAATTCTATTTCAAATAAGAGAGAAACACGATATTGGAGAACTAAGGCGTTGCTAGTTTAGCTGCATACAAAACTAAAATACAGTTCATGACCTAGTAGGAACTAAAATCGGAACCAATTCTTTGCTATGAAATACAGTTATTCTCCAAGCGCCGCATTAGTTTAAGACTACCACTAGTTGGCACAAGATTGATACATGTTTCTCATGGCCACTGCTCAACAAATAAAAAATGTGAGAAACCAATTTGTTACAATTCATTACAGCAGTATATTTAAATCTTCGATGCGAAAAAATGTATCTTGAGTTAACTGGAAATCCGCAAAACCAGAAATCCAACTTCTAAGGAAACGATTCAACTTAAGGTAGCGAATTGGATTGAGCCGCACATCATTAGATGCGTTTTGACGAGTTGATTTCAAATCTATCTTCCATATTTGCGATGCCATATCTGGAAGAAGTCATCAGCGTTCAAAAGTACAAATCTGGCAAACATTCAGAGCCACATCAAGAACTAGTTGTTCAAAAACACTTATCTGTGTCTCTGGTAAATGTGAGCATCCCTTAAAATCACTACACTCAATATCTTGCTAGTCGAGCACTTCCAAGTCGGATTAGAAGCACATCATGCAGTAGAGCTCCAGTGCCTTCACACATTTGATTGCAGTTGAATGTGTGAAGTCGCTGGATTACTAATGCATGATGTGCTTTAAAATCCAGCTTGGAAGTGCACAACTAGCAAGATATTGAGTGTAGTGATTTTGAGATATGCTCACATTTACCAGAGCAGATAAATGTTTTTGAACAACTAGTTCTTGAGGACTGGCGCTGAATTTTTGCCAAATTTGGACATTTGAATGCTTATAAATTTTCCAGAGTACGGCGCAGATATGGAAGGTGAATTTGGAGTCAGCTCATCAAGATGCATTTAAATTTCAACACCTTGAGTTGGGATCGCTTGTAAGTGCTTCAGTTTTTTTTTGGATTTCGGCTATAAGCTTCACGTGAATCAAGTAAGAACGCTCCAATCTTGTAAAGCTGTCATCTTGTAAAGCTTGTTTTGCTCTACCCAACTTTTTTATCAGGTCTCGCCTTAATCTCTATTCATGGAACTTTTAATAGTGAAAGTATTCGCGCATGTTAGCAGCGAAGGTCTCACAAAATTTGTCATATTTCTCTGCATTTAGTAGATTGCATGCTACGCGTTGTACAATTCGCTGCTAGTCGATTTGCAATGCTCATCTATTGGGGTTCAATGAGCCGTAGTGCTGGCACGAACAATCGAAATGGCATCAATTCATGCGGTCACTGAATTATTTATGCTACTGCTCAAGACCCTTTGCTACCGTTCCGGCAAATTGTGAATCCCATTTTCCCAAAAGGTCGTCTGGCCTCAGAAAAAACATCTCAACGGCACTTGAGATCTTTTAAAGTTGATTCAGGCACTATGTGTTTGCGATAGAACAGAACAAATGATGCTTGGGCGACAACCGAGTACATGGACACTGATATACCTCTGGGCAAATCTTGCAGGAAAGTACTGCCACGTTCGCTATGGAGAATTATGCTTAATTCTCTTTTTGCCTCCATTTGTAGATGCTGAGAGAACCAAGTTCATCAGCTATTCATCAAAAGTAAGTGCGTTTTGAAGAGCAATATCAGCTTTCTCAACAATAAGCGCACCTTGCCGGTAGTCAACCGCTCCTCAAGGAAGTGAAGGTAAAGCAAAATAAAGTTGATTAACTACTATTAAAGCGCATTACCCCACGTGAAGAGTTATTCAACTGATTATTTACTACATAGAGTGGATTAATCACTAAATGGAGTTCAAGCTTTATTTGCAAATTTGTCAAACACAGAAAGCTGTAGATGGAATGAGAGATTATGGTCGGGAAATCTACACTGAATGCAAAAGGAGATCATCGCCGTCATCTATCCCCTTGGGATTTGCTCCAAGACTAGAGACTATTTACCACACATTATACACAACGCCATTAGTTTTAAGTCAATGCACCTGCCGTTATTAACTTGATTGAAAATTTAATGATTGATCAGACCAGAAGGGACCTGGCATACGCTCTCGCCACTTCTTTTTGTTATTTATGTACAGAAAGTAGTTTCTGGTTACGTTTAATCATTTCGTAGACCCTTCGTAACAGGCTATTTTGCCAAGTTCTCACCTGCATGCCTTGATATTGCAATGCCTTCAAATTCATCTTCAATTATGTGTTCCTTTTCACATGTATTCAAAAAGTTACAAAGCTGTGCAGTGCACTTACTGCGAAATCTGAGCAATATCTCCCGTCTTCAGCTATTAGCTGATCCTTCCAGATTGTGATAATTGAGCAATGTATTTTCTTCCCGTCTACCATCCATTCTCAACTAATTGTAGAACTCCGCAAGAAACTCTTACCTCGATGGCCTAACCAAATTATGCAACGAGCAACTCCTTGCGTCATTGGCATGTAACAAGACTTTCGTGTCTCTTTTTCATTTTGCTTCTCGTATAGCAGATGGAATTGAGCATGGTGATAAAGAAAGGTGCTTTTCCAAAGTAATCGACATCTAGACTGCACGAAGAATCCATCATTTTGCTCATTTGTTTCGAAAAGATTATATATCAAATGATCTACAGCCCAACGAGTAATCCACGAGCGATGGTTGAAACGGATCAAAAACCAGAGAAATTCAAAGATGAAGCGAGTTCCATGCTGCATAACGGAACAGCCGCTTACGATTTGGCACTCCCGCTCTTAAATAGACTATAAAGAATTACGCTCACATTCTGAAGCAGCGGCAGAAAATGTCTTGTAAATTGCTTCACTGTTTCCGCCCACCTGAAGCAGTATTGGCCGTCTCCAATTCAACTGGGCGTATCCACATATCACCCCTTCAATGTAAAGCCTATTAACGGAAACTCCGGACAAATTTAATCACGCAGTTGTCACCATCGTAAGCGGTACGCTTTTAATTCTTTCTGCATAGTCTCCTTATTCTTTATAAACTGTCTATCCACCATTTCTCTTTTTTATTTTTGCGTCAAGTCTTCGCGTTGAGTCTTTGATAGTTAGTTAGTACACTCTGCTCCGTTTGAGATCAAGCCGAACCGTTGGCGTAAATTTGCGCACTCGTAGCGCTAAGCGTTTGCGCTGCATATGCGCGCTGTCGGAGAGTGCCAAAGGATTGAAGAGAGAGCAGAGAATCAGGCCGTGGGCGTGAACGCGAAACCCTAGCGACGCGGACTCGCGCCATTCCAATTCTGGCCTGGTTGGGATTGAGGCAGACTGTATCCATCTCTCAAGTCCCGGCTAAATTGAAATTTCTTTTCATATTCAAGATCTTTTGGTGTGCTGATCTATAACGTTGTGCGTCTAGCTTATTCCCGATCAAGTACTCTATCAGACTATACCTGCAAAATCAATAGGTCACAAGGAAATCAAACTTCTGCTGCATCTAGCATTTTGACTTCTCCCCCTCGACACCCTCCCTTATCAACTCTCGCCTCTCAGGTAAGGTAATTTCAAGGCCAGTTTTGTTTTCTTTTCAAATACCTTCTTGATCTAATCATACCAAGAGTGAGTGAAATTATCAATTAATTTTAGTACGTTTTGGAGAAGTTGAGGATCAAAGGTTAAAGAATGTCGTGATCTCCGGGCTTAAAACACGAAGTATCGAGTGGTTACCGCTGTCGGCCAGATAAGATGACAGTGAGCGGAAAGCCCGTGGACACGTGGAAATTCCCGATGTGGAAGCACCCCACTTTACAATGTATGTTGCTCAGTTCTAGGTCCTTAGTTCCACTGCTTCATCTACTTTCCTGCTTTTTTGTGAGGAAATCCTCAATTCTCTATATGTAAACACAGACCTCGTGCGAAAGCTTGAGTTTCGTCATGATTATTATATATTTATACGTATTTTCGTAGAAGCTGTTAACCCTGATTGAAGTCTAAGGGCGCTTCATAAGCAGAGTTGAGTAGTTAGTTCAAAAAAGTGCACCCACCGTTAGGAAAACACATTTTCATAAACTCGTCCACTTGGGCCGCATACTTGTCCATGTAGCTGATAGGATCTCCCTTCAAAAAATTGATAAAATCAAGATATAACAACAGCTATTCAAAAGACTCACTGCTAATCCATGCAAGGAAACCATATGACTTTTGACGTTGTTTTTTGAGTAGGTAGATGTAAAATCACAGGCAGGACATTGGAACATTGGCTTGGCAACATGACATTGGCGAATGTGGCATGGCAGCTTTGAAGAATGCACGTCCTTCTGGCAGATCACACAAAATTGGAATGTGCAGGGGTAGGACTGAAACCAAAGGAAACATGTGGAGTCGTTATAGTTGTTCATCATATCGTGTGGATTTGTAGCAATTAAAGAGTGACCGGTAAATGAGGTTGAAAATTACCTAAAGACGGTTTGTACGGTACCTCTATTGCCTACAAAAACGAAACTCGTTCTTCAAAATTAAGAAAATAAATCAAAAAAGACAGAACATCTATTGCCTACAAAAACGAAACTCGTTCTTCAAAATTAAGAAAATAAATCAAAAAACACAGAACAAACACTGATCTCCTACGTGAAGTACAATTCATAATTATACGAACACCCTTTAATTTGAGAGTATTGGGACTTATGTGAAAAACCCAAAAAAACCGTTGATGCTACGATAGAGTATAGGCGAAAAGGGCATGGGCAGTTCAATTATTAAGATCCTGGTCGATGCGAAGAATCCCGTCATAATTATACGAACACCTTGAGCAAGGCTCCTTTTTTTCAATCAAGCCATCTTTCGCATTCAAACTTTCTTGTATTAAAGTAATGCAGTCCGAAAAATGCGCTACAAGCCGAACCCAGTACGCTTCAAAAAGAAGAGATTACTCTTCTCAAAATCAATGGATACCGGGTCCCATTGGCGTTTAGGCTGCGTTCAGAATGATTCCGAAACTCGGGAATAGTTCCAGCACAGCGCGCAGTCCGAGCGCTGTGCTGGAACGTCTCCAACTTTTGGGTTAGTATGAACGCAGCCTTAGCAAGAAGATGTGCAGCAATGTGGTTCCTTCACGACGATAACACATTGCTTTCCAAATCTGCGAAACGGTTCTGTTAAAGAAGTTAAGGACCTCTAAGGGCCGCATGCACTAACATCCCCGCGGGGAGGGGATCGCAGCTTAAAAGAAAGTTTTATATTTCGAAACCCCAGATACCTGGATTTCACATTGTGTACCTATCCGTAAGTATTCCTACTACCCTTCACTATGAACATGTTGAACAGGAGCGATAAGCTGTACAAACCGCATTTTCCAGCTTTTGTATGATCCCTGATGATCCCCGGCGATTTTCTTTAAAGTCATTTTTCTTTCTCCGAAGTTAACGAAAACCTTCCAAAGTTGCACTGAACATCTAACACGACAGTGCTGAGCATGTTTCTGATGAGAACAAATGAGTTTTTGAAAAGTCGAATTTTTCGGTAAACTTCAAATTTCGACCTGATCATCGAAAATTTCATGACTCCGATACATCACTTGTTCTTATCAGCAACATGCTAAGCGATGTTGGGTTGCATAATCTGCACAACTCTGGAGGTTTTTCGTTGACTTCCGAGAAAGAAAAATGACTTTAAAGAAAAACGCCGGGGATCATCAGGGATCATACTAAAGCTGGAAAATGCGGTTCGTACAGTTTCTCGCTCCTCTTCAACATGTTCATAGTGAAGGGTAGTAGGAATACTTACGGATAGGTACACGACGTGAAATCCAGGTATCTGGAGTTTCGAAATATAAAGCTTTCTTTTAAGCTGCGATCCCCTCCCCGCGGGGATGTTAGTGCATGCGGCCCTAAGTCTACAGGTTTTGCCTTGTCTACACAGACGGATGCGAAGAATTATGCGTCATTGCAGCAAAAATGTGTTTCGAAACACGCAACGATTACTACTGATATTCGCCGTTTGAGATGATTTCTGGATAGACGACACTTTGCAAGTAAACGCAAAGCGATGAGCCGGATTTGAGCCCAATATCTTATGGCGAGAGCTACTACTGTAACAGCTGCACTATATATTATAATTAGTTGTATTCGATTCAACTGTAGACAAGGAAAACCTATAGATGCAGGAATCCGTAACTTCTTTCAACTTTTAGCAGATTTGGCAAATATGTTCAAGAAAACTTCGTTAATGTGCATCTCCTTGCTGAATGTCAGTGCGACTCGGTTTCTTTCCTTAGCCAAATAGCATGAAAGGCTTTTGAATGTAATGCGCGCAAAAACGTCTTCGGTAGTATAGAGCTTCTAATCAACTTGTAACAAGACTTTAGTACAATAAGCTTTCGCGACAAGATGCTGTAAGCTGGAAAAAAGTCTGTGTAATTGTTGCACTTCCCGTCCAAGTCTCAACCTTGACCTACAAAGTTAGCAACTTTTAAGCCTCAAAACTTAGCTTCTACTGTCCGCGTTCTACGAAGTGAGCGCATTTGTTTAGCTAGAAAAGTCCTGTAATGTTGATGAGCATATATTTCGGCCACGCAGGAGTCATCCAACAAACATAACTGTGTAAACTAACGCAATCAGCCTCCCTTGCTTTCAAGCTCCAAAGCCTCCAAATTAGCTTGCAAAATCCAAAAACTGCAGCATGGATACATCATCATACAGGCAAAGCACCTGCCTTATTGAAAAGATTTGCTAATGAAAATGCAACCAGCGCACAGCGTTTTTAGATGTCAAACAGCATAACTGTCGAGGAAACTTACTCTATCTCAAATCCTGTTACAAGCTTACTGATTAACCTCTATACCACAGAAAAACAGACGTTTCTTGGAGCGCAATATTCGAAAGCATTTCATGCTATCTCAGAAAAGCACGCTCCACTTTTTGAAGACACTGAGCTCGGTGTAGCACTTTCAAGGACTCTGTTGCCGTAATTTTACAAAAAAAAGTTTATAAAACTAGAGCTTGAGGTGGTCTTATGATTACAAACTGCTCAAAATTCATAGTCGGCGCAAACTCATTCCTAGAATTGAGCTGAATAAGTATTATAATGCGCATTGTCCACGGCTATGCTCTTTCACGTAGCATTTACGGTTTTCCCACTTCTCTTCTCACCTTCCCGCAACCAAAGCATTAAGTCAGCGAGAAAATTAGAAATTGCTGATTTAAAGCAATTTTCTTGAACGAAAAGTCATGGAGCAAAATCGCGACGTTACAAGTGCGCTCTGGCACAAAGAAGAACATTCCAAAAGCTTTTCCATATGAAATCGGTGACTTCGGGAAGACGAAAGTTTTCTCCAAAAGATTAAATGCGAGTTTAAATCAGTTGCTGGAGTTATAATGGCATGATAGTCGCCATAAGAATGACGACAATCGTGAAACACATCCCTAAGCAAAAATCTTCTCTAATTATTGGTTAAAACCTTGACAAACCTATTATATACGCAATTATTCCTTCTTGGCGCCAATCGTGCGTCAAAGTAGGATTTTTGCTCACTTTTTGGGCCGGAGTACATGGTTTGCGGATCTGCTTGTTGAACAAATCCACGACTTTAAAAAGTCCAATTACAGGCCCACTTCGGTGCGCCAAAAGTCGCGTAGATCCGTCTGGCGCACAGTTTTCACAGGTTCCACTTAACGGATCGGCTTGTGCTTTTGCACACTTTGTCTACCTGCTGATAGGGTACTATGACCAAGATTCTAGCTCAAAACCTTCGCTGGAACTTGCTCTACGAATTTCGTGACAGACAGACGTAAAGTTTCGAAACTCTCAAGATAAGAAGTGTTCGTATAAATAAGAACGCAGTGTAGTTGTGATCTTGACGTGCATACTCACCGTTTTCGCTTTCGATTTAAAAAAAGCTTACAATATCGTTATTCTGATATACTGCACCACTATATATAATCTATTCGGCTAGGTAGATTTAGAAACAGTGTTGGAATCACTGCTTGCAGATAGCAATACCTCCTACATTGCAGCACCGTACCCAAACAGAGGAGGTAATGCGATACGAAGCTCGCCAAAAAATGTGTGATTACTTTTATTTGCAGTTGAAAAGCGCTCATTTCAAAGGGAACCATACCTATTTTTGCAAATGCGGCAAAGTTACTGAGGGTCTCTGGCTGTAAAAAGCATCGATCATACCTCGCGCGATTTCGGTCGCCGCGATATGGTGCTACGATGTCTCATCATTCTTCGTGCAATCTCGGTAAGCAAGATTCAATGCTTGCACCACTTTACGAAAACTGTGCGCCTGGGCATTCAAGATCTGTGCGGGGTGGATTGGTAACATCTACCAAGTCGCCAACGATAGCGTTTTTCGCAAATGCGCGAGGTATGACCGAGGCCCACCCTTTGGCATAGCTCTTTGACTATACCGCACTGTGCTCGGAAAGCGACGCTCTTGCGTCCATTGGAGATAATGAATGACTGAAAGAGGCGCAGAGGAAACAAGCGGCGAGAGTGTACGAAGAAACAGGAGTGACGCGCAGTACATACCCTTTGTGTGTTTTTTCCTATCGCTTCAAAAGAATGAAGAAGATGTAATCGCAATACTTACTCTTTTTCTTTCCGGTGGGGTCGACTGTTGTTGTTGTTGAATGGCAACCCGTTGTTGTGCAGCAGCTTGAGCTTGGGCATGAAACTGTAAAAATTATAGCATATAGGGAGATAGCTGGACGCCTTAAAGGCAGTGTCTCACCAAAGTTGAGGTCGCGCGGATCTTTACATATTCTATTATAGGGACCTCTAGATAGGTCATTGCAACGAGTCCCAGTCAATTTGATTCCCTCCACGCTGAGAAAAATTCGCTCAAAGTGGTACGCGGAGAGCCAGTTGGTACGCGCGGACGACTCCTTCGGTCTCCCCCCCTTACGCGTTTGAACATGCCCCTCCACTTGCCATCCACCTCCCCTCTGTTGCTGCCACTGTGGCTGAGGCTGGAGTTGGAAGGTACAACTCGTCCACGTTGATTCCGCGGGGCCTCCAGAAAACGGGGTTTTTGGGAACTTCGTGCGATTTTAAGTCCATACAATGCTAGACAGGGTCCGACAGGCTTGCAAAATGCAACAATCGCAACTAAATTTTGGTGAGACCCTTCCTTTAAGGGTTAAAAAACCTATGCGATGCAAAAAGAAATACTAACAAGGGAAGTCACTTTAGGTCGGCCTTTTGAAATGAGACACATATATTTAGAATCAGCTCGGAACGCTGATTCCAAATATGCTGTCCTTAGCTGCGAAGCGTTCCTCTGAAGCGATTTATGCGCTTTTTCCTAAGCAAAGTTTGCGTGCTGACCGACTTAGGCATGCTACGGTATCGTCATCCTGGTAATAGTTTCAAATGCATAAAACACCCTATCAAAGTCAAATGACTCATTTTGATGTTATTTCGATTTCCCACCACTTTTTTAGGCAGATTTTCATCTAAAGGCCTTCTTTTCATATTCAGTTATATGTCAACTACACATACTAAAAAGCTCATGACTCGCTTCAGAGGAACGCTTCGCAGTTAAGGACAGCATATCTGGAATCAGCGTTCCGGGCTGATTCTAATTATATGTGTCTCATTTCAAAAGGCCGACCTAAGTTAAGTGACTTCCCTTGTAAGCTATATACGGGCTGCTGAGCTCTGCGGCTAATAAGGCCGCGTTCGCGCCCGAAAATATTGCGCCTTTGCCGTACAGCAGCCTATATGTGTGAGCACACGAATTTGGGAACATAAAAACATGAGTTTGAAGACTCCCAGATCAAGATGACCTACGAATGCAAGAAGGCCATGCGTGTTTTGAGAAAAACAAACCTGAGCGATAGCTTGTTGAGCCTGAAGAAATTGTAGCAGTGCAGCAGCGTCGGACATTCCGAATAAAGGATTTGCTATAGGTGGAAGCTCCTGGAAAAATGGTAACTGAATCGTTTCAACTTCGACTGGTCTGTTGGAATTTGCGTGTAATTCACTTTGTCAGGATGTTGGAGATTACTATCACAAATATTAGATTGGAAATCAAGTTTTGCAACTCGTCTAATAACTTTCCTCTCACTCAACATGACGAACTCAAATTTTGCCACTGTGTTGGCTAGGACGTAAGCTACAAGCATAGCTGCTGTTCTACCAAGTTCTAACGTCGCACTGGTTACGGTAGGTATATGGTACAAGGGAAAAATTGTAAAATTCGACAGATTTGGCTGAAACTTGGCATAGGGGGGTTATCCGTCGTGCTGATCTAAAAAAGGTACTAAGTTGCGTGACAAGGGCTTTCTTGTAAGATTACTGCAGGTGTACGATATAGGGCCTCGTCCTAAACAAGGAAAGAGGCGTTGATTCAACAAATGAATGATTTTCGTGTTTAGCAGGCCAAAGAACCTTAGTATGTAAAAGCTCGGGGAGTTTTGTTGTTCTGACTCCTTAGTCATCAACGGTTGTCCCCAGCACCCTTGCGTACAGCGACTCGCTCGAATTTGTGAGGGCGCCAAATCTCGATTTCCCCTAAATATTATCTCTTTCTTGGTGAGCCAAATGATTCAACCTCTAGCAACATTTCTTACACGATTCCGGATTATTGCGCATGATCTAGGCTACTAACAGATTCATTTTGGCTTATAACACCAAATCAAAATTCAGTAATTTCCGAAACATACCTGGGGTTTTTCTAATTCCTTTTCAAAATTTAAACAGTTTTGGGGAGTTCTAGTTCACATTACGCTCTACATACTGCCAAAATCTGACTGAAGATCCAAAGAGAGTTGAATCATGAAAGTAATTGCAAAACTTAGTTTCCAGCCTAGTAAAATCATACTTTGTGTAAAATGGATGAAACACAAGAATTCTACAAAACTGGGTAATTTAGTCATTGAACAGCTTGCACCTTTATCTCTTTTTGAGCGAGAAAACGTACTAAACGCTCAATTACAAACTTTAGAGATGGTTCCCCAACTAGGGTAGGCAAAGGAAATATCATCAAATAGTTTCTCTCTATTCATTTGTAATGCGTGCAGTGTTGAAATAAAATCTTTCTCAACCCATTTACCCATTTAATCCTTGAATGAATTCGTGTTCATGTATGGTAGAGCACCAATTATGTGTCGTGAACAGAATCATCCCCACCCTTGGACTAAGAAAGAAAATTTTTCTTTCGATCATCTCAACAAATCCATCAGAGATTTTGTTGTTATATTTTATAGACTTTTAATCCTTAGAACAGAATATGATTGGTAACTGCAATGTTTTTATGAGTTAGTAGGCGTAGCCTAAAAAATCAAATTCAATGAAGCTCTTAGACAAACGCCAACTCAGATCGTATGCATTGAATTTCCTAGTATACTATTTTTTTTAATCAATAGATATAGTGACGGAATCGCAAAAGCCATGCTTCTCAAAAAAAAAGAATGCAGCTTTTCGGCAACGGTCATTATGAACCTAACCCCAACAGCTCCTTTCCAAAGCAATGTTATCGCTCAAAATCAAACGCCCATACCAAGGCTCTGAGTGCCTGACCCTCTTTGGAATTCATTACCGACTTCTTCAGCCCATGCATACCCGTGAATGTAAGCAGTCACATAAATTCATCGAATAGCATTGCAAATATGCTGGCATTTTCGGTCGTTAATCGTATTCATGGTTGAAGGATGAAATCTCTACAGCTTCAACATGAGTCATAAAGAGCGTACAGCATAAAATATTTCGCTTGACAGTATGCTTTTCTAAGATGAGTTAGTCATCATGATGTGATAAAAATAGAGCACGACTCATAAGTAGAAGCAAAACAAATCCCGAGAACTAATCTAGAAGACTAGAGATTGAAACGAGCCAAGGTAGGCTTACGCCTACAAAAAGGGCAGGTGTCCAACTTATTCAGCTTTTATCTGTGAAAAACGACTGCATATTTTGATTTACGAATTTTATTGATGTAATTTTGGGTCCACAGGGAAAACCGTTAGGGCCTTTCGACTCAAAGCTGAAAAATCAATTTGCTAAATTCACCTTTACTTTCGTGAAATGTAGCTTTTCAAGGTCGAAGCTTATTTCGAAAATCCTATGCATTTTACCTTTTCAAACGTAAAGCTTTCCCGAGAAAGATAAGGAAAACACATTGAAGACTAGAGAGCAATGGCGGTTCAAAAACGTTCAAAGAAGGGGGGGGGGGAAGGGCGACAGAAACTTTTTCGAATTAAGGGGCGTGACATTAGCATTTGGATTGCTTCCCACTTTTAGTGGATCACTCACCCGAAAAGGGAAATGGGCAGCCATCCCTCCAAAAAATCTTCACTGTGCACTTGAGTTTTTCACAGAGTTGAATTACTTGGATTATTAAGTAAAAATAAGTCACTAGCAGGATTCTATGACTCATGTAGGCTACTTTCAACCTCCCCCTTCCCTTCAGTCCGCCACTGTTGAAAAGAGGTCAGATGTTCAAATTAAAGATGTTTGATTGATATCAGTATCAAGGCCAAACAGCTTTTGGAAAAAGAGACCTAACGGCAAGAGCCAGAAAAGCTATGGCATTGAAATAAGCGCGAAAGTTGGCGCATATGCAACGAAGGTGATTGGTATTCTATGCAAAAGCACGGTAGGCGTCAATAATCCTAAACGGAAGAGCATTGACAATATTGGAAGTTGTAAATCTAGCATAACACCCACTTAGCTAGGGATCGGAAAGACATCTTACAGATTATTCAAACCTTCAACTGGTAAGTGCCTCCAAATTAGGAGAACTCTCAAAAGGATATCATCACTTTTTAGACATCTTAACAAGCAGCCACAGAATACCTTGTCTGAAGTGTAGTCGTCCTACACGTGATCTCGAAGGACCCATATAAAGTGCTACTGCAACTCATATCGCAACTTTTGACTGTCGTATACAGTATTTGCTAACGATATACGGTAGATTTCTTCGAAAGGATTGAGAATTTGCGACAAACCCTCTTAGTCCTTGAGACGTTTTACGCTTAGTAGAAGATCTGCACAGTATCAAGAATGCTTGGTTCATATCACAGTAGTTTTACCCTCCACTGTTCCAAACCACTTATAATGGCCATACTATCTTTACAGGTGAGCTGGGTGAAAGACCACCGGCAACTGGTACTGGCTATAACAACTTTGAGCTGCACCCTACTGAAGACCAATGTCCTCAACCCTCCCACTACCAGCAAAAGATAGGTTTTTTGCAGTGACTATCGTATTGGACCTAGATCTAACTACTTCGGCTCGTAATCTCGAAAGATAAGGAAAGAGGTGTAAACGGTAATCAAATAGTAAAGATTTTTTACAGTAACTCATGTGTTTAATTTTGTTTGTGGCATGCTCTTTTCTTTTCGACCAAGTCGAGGATGATGAGATTTCGATGCTGTATCATATCAGAGCGTCTAAGTAATTGCTCAAATCCCGCAAAAGATGAATTATGAAGCGAGAAAATCGCTCTGACGGATGCGAGCGGCACGGGAATCTCCGCCCATCAATAGTGCCTTAATTTAATGATTGAGAAAGTGGTCTTTAGGGTAGACGGAAACGTCGAAAATCTGATATTCGTAATGAAGAGAGGACATCGAGACACATTAGAGTGCAATTTTTGACCTGTTAACTCCAGACCACCCAGATGGGCGGAGCTTCCTGGCCCGCTCATACTTTCTAGGGCAATTTTCTCGCTTTGGAATTCTTTTTTTGCAGAGGGATTTGAGCGGTCACTTAGTAAAGAGTTCTGGTATCGTACACATCAATATTCGCCGTCTTCAGTTATGGTGGATGCTCCCTTTACGTTATATAACTATCCCAAAAACGTACCGATTTCACATGCGTCTCCGGAAACTCTTGTTTAACGGCATTCTGTTGCCCAGCCAGCAGAATTGCTGCAAGTTCGGACGAGGACAGGCCGGAAACATCAGAGCCCGATGTATTCGTCGGTGATGCGCTGCATTCCAACGTTTCCGATGAAGCCGTGACGGCCGTTCGTGTCATCGGAGGCACAGCTTTCGTAGTCGGTGGTGCCATGGCTGGCGGTGTCGGTGCAGCTATGCCGCTCATATTCGCCAGCATTTACCTGGAATTCATGGAAAATGATGAATTAATCAGGGTACCGGACGCGAGAACTTTCATAATTGTACGAGAACTATTGAGCGAGAGTGAGGCGGACATCCTCATAGTGAACGCAGACATATTAGATCGGTGATAAGGGTCCTAGCTTTTCGATATAAATATACCACATGAGAAAATCATTTTGTTTTTTTCCAAACTTTTTTCTAATTATTTCTGGCAAATTTCGAACTTGGTCATTGAAGAGCATAAACTTTCAAGCTGACTACATCTAAGCACCGATGCTTCTGAAAATCCGCGAAAAATTTTGGAAAACGAAAAAGGAAAAAAGAGGTGTAGGTGCCTCGACAGGATTACTTATGACCCTTCGTTCCTTCCTCGTATGTGCTAATTATGAGACTTTGCCAAAGTTTCTAGAGTTTTCCAGAAACCAAGAAAATGTAGGAGGACTTTTGGACCTGATAATTAGCAAAGAAGCACAAGGTGTGTAAGGAAACCACACAAAAATGGGGTTGCTATTGAGATCCAGAGGATGTGAAACTATAAGCATTTAAACTATAGATAGCAAGACCGTAACCCCTTCCCCTCCATGCTTTAGCTATTCTGGCTACGGTAGGCGAGATGCAAGCACCTACAGTGTAAAATGTAAGCACCTCCACTGATGGTCTAGAGTGGGAGTGGCAAACATGCTGCAAACTTCATTTGAGAACTGTCCGAACCTGCCAGCTTCGAAAACATAAGAGGATTTAATTGAGATTATTGTTGGAGCTCCTTGATGTCGTACAACCTTATCCGCTACGATCAGCTTACGTTATAACGTCGACACTACACTGATACCTTTTTGACGTCGGCCCTTATTTAAGAAAGTGTTGAATATGCCGCTGTTGACAGAGAACAGCGGATCGTTTGACAAGCTTTCGCTAAAGCTCCACAAGCAACCTATTTTGGGAAATCTTTGATGCTATAAGCGTTGCAAGCATAAAAGTTGTACCCTCTCAAATATACTATTTATTCGGAGCTCGTGCGGAGCGTACTTTATTGAAAAAGGATAAGATTCAGAGTTTTTAAAGCTTTTTGTAGCATGAAGTAAATTGACTATCGATTTGACAAAATGGGCACAAAAGTGGTTTCTGCATAGGGAATCTAACGTAAAACGCTCATGATTGGTCACAAAAAATCACTGAACGCCACCGAAGCTCACCGAAATCCGCGTCGCAGATCGAGAAAATGGGATTTCAAGGAGCAGCATTCAGTTCATTCTCCGCCGGTTTTGTAACAAGAAGTTTGGAGACCGTCCAAGAAGTAGGAAACCAGCGACAGCCGTTAACGCAAAGATGGTAACGGATCCGAGATGAAATCCGAAAAAAACCGAAGAGAAACATCAGAAAAGGGGTTCGAGAGCCCAACATCAGCCGAAGTTCGGTCCAGAAAGTCATCGGGAAACGCTAGGACTCCGCAGCTTGAAGATGCAGAAGAGCCATGCCTTGGCGGAACAAATGAAGGCTACTCCTTCAAAAATGCAGCAGCCTTCTAAGACGATTCACGGCGGCAAGCAGCAGAGACATCCTTTTCGCAGATGAGAAGATATGTACGATAAAACAAACCTGAAATCGCGAAACGACTGCATTCTCTTCCATTCGGTTCAGGAAGTCTCTATTCAACATTGCTACATTTTCAAATCAGCCCATCCAGCCCAGTTAATGATTCGGGCAAGCGTAGCTTCCACCGGGAAGATGCCAATTGTTTTTGTGGATCCAGACGATAAAAATGAAAGTGCAATATCGTTTGGAGCACATTCTTGTAGAGCGGGTCCTTCCTTGGAGCCGAACGTACTTCAACGGCTATCCTTTACTTTCCAGCAGGACTCTGCACCTTTCCACATGGCACAAGCCTTTTAAAAGTGGAGTAAGATTAATTTTACCGCAATGGTCACCTCGAAGGAATGGCCGCGCTACTCCCCAGATTTGAAGCTTTTTGACTTTTCTATCCGTCATTCCTAGAGAGTAAGGTGTGCGCTAATCCTCATCGGAATTTGGACAGCTTGACGTAAGCGGAAGACACGAGAAGATATTGACGTCAACTACTTGCGTGCCACGGTGGATGCGTTCCGCAAGCGTCTGAAGGCTTATGTGGAGGTCAGAGGAGGACATTTCGAAATCTGAGCGCATGTTATTGTTGTATCTTCCAACTCCGACTGTTCTTCAATTTTGGCATAGATATGAACCGTAGTATGTTGCTGAGCAACACGACCAAGATGGCAATTTCTCTTTATCAACGTCGGCCAACGTTTCGGCGCAATCGCCTTCGTCAGAGCCTAGAAAGTCGAATACATAAGGATCTCCTTCCTCAGACGTCAATGAAGAAGCAAGATTCTCAGTTGCAAGCTAGTACGAAGGAAAGAATCAGAGCCACGGCTAAGCAATACTCACCTTAATATGCAATAATATGCAATAACTATACCTCTGCCCTATCTATAGTAATGAGGTGACCTGACCACAAAGGGCCTGATATGGCGCGAGTTCGTTGGTTATTGCAATACACTTTTCCTTCCGGTTTATTTTCGGATTTTTAGCGCGGATCCGAAACGCTTCCAAAGTCTTGCGCGATAGGACTTTGGGTTCATAGGACAAAATCGAGACCCCAGCTTGTAATTCAGCATTTTGTGTTGCCTCAAGCGATGACTACCGAGCGATGTACTGTTGTTATTGTTTTGTAGGTTTTTTTCATAAAGTATGTGCCAAATTTCATGTTCCCATGTTGCTTCGTTCAATTTCAGCTGAAAAAATACTAGGCTCAAAGACTTTTAGGACACACTGAAGAAGTGTTTGGATATGGCAATTACTCACCATAGATTTTGCCTACAGTAGGTAAGGCGCAAGAATAGGCATAGCCGGTTCAAGCAAAATCTAGAAGGATTCGTAAATTTTGACCGCTCATCATGCAACTACCGTATCCAAATGTTCACCCCCACAAGGTGTCCCAAAAAAGTATCGGACATCTGACATTAACCACTCTCTCGTCATGAAGTCTTCAACTGAAGCTTCTCCAAAGACCATGACAAGAGAGTTGTTAACGATAAAACGTACAATACATCTTTTTGGGGCATCCTGTATATCAGATGATGCGCGTCGCCGAGCTGATTCGAGCTTTTCCCTCGGAGTCAGTATTCATGCATTTGAACCAAAATTTGGCGATGCAACGAAGATTTCGTGACTTTTTACGAACTATGAGCAATATTGTACTCATGAAAATTACTGGTTCTTGATTTTTTTTGACTAAAAATTCGAAATGCAATCTAAATGAATCTCAAACTGTATCCGCATTACATTCCAGTCCTTTGCTTTCGTTGACAAGGACCCACTGATTTCTGCCTATTTTCAAAATCTACTGTTGGAGTTGAACTATAAAAAAACTTGATGGCCGTTTTTGATTTTTCAAAGCTAATCCCTAACTGCTAGAAGATCATTGACCGGCGCCCCTCAACTTCGCTCGCATTACTTAATAACGAATTTTTCAAAATCCCGGTTTGTTTTCCACAAATCAAAGTCGTCTCTTATCCGCACATTCCCTCCCCCCCCCCCCTCTCCGCACCTTCTACCTCCCACCGCTGACGCTCGCAATTGGCTAAGTGGAATAGTCAGTGTTTACTATGTACTGAGATTAATATAAGATATGTCACACTTCTTTCGTCTTCTTCCGGAAAATACTAGAAACTTCGGCAGAATCTTGTGGTCTCAAATCATATGCGAGGGGGATAGGGGCTATCCTATAGCAACAAATCTATATTGACGGACATGAGTTTTTGTAAATTTGAAAGGTACACATATGACGGCATTTCAACCTCCATTTTTTGTCTCATAAAAAATTTCATATATTTCTTTTCATCTTTCAGATTAATTTTCCGAAAGCATCAGTAATAATAGGAAAGCAGCTTTAAAGTTCAGGTTTCCAATAACGCACGTAAAAAAATTTGCCAAAAATGATTCGACGATCCAAAAAATTCAGAAACTGATTTTTTTCTTCTCATGTATGGCATGTACAATAAAAAGTTACAGCTTTACAGGTGATTTGGAAGCAAATAAAAATTTTTTCAAAAAATTTACGAAGATTTTTTCAGATAAAGAGCAACAAAAATTTCATGCTACGACCTAGCGCTCTAGTACGTGGACAACGCAGGACTAAAATCAAGTGCCATAGATATGCCTTTTAACTAAGGTTTCAAGCATTTTCTAGAAAGGAATGGACTAAGACAGCTTAACATTCGCTCCCATTGAAAAATGGAGAGAAATCTTCGAAAAAGTGGAAAAAAAATCGAAAAAATCAACGCATATGATTGAAAGAGGAGAGTTTCTTGCTTTGATAGTAGCATTGGAAAGAGCATTATGAAGCGAGCACTATTCGGTTTCTCAAGGGTTTACGAGCACAGAGCTCTAAGCTCAGCGCGCGAGATGAGTTGAAGCGATAAGGCCGTTGGCGCTTGTAATGCGGTGGCCGGTAAGGCGAGGAGGCTTATGCGGCTGCGCGAAGCCCTACCCTGCCAAGCTCACCGGGATTATATGAGCCGCGTTTCGTGCTGCTTTCGACCATTATGGACAACGATGCAAAGACCAGCGAGCAGCATGGCATCATGCATAATGCGGACGAGTTACCCCATTTGCTCTTTTGCGCCTTGCTTTTCCGCGCGCTAGCTGCTTTTCAATGTCTCTTCTCTAGATAACACTTATCCACGATGCACGTTTCTCTTATGCGATGGCAGAAAAGAGCTTATTAGACTTATGAGATAATCCAGTTGTTGTTGAGATCGGGTAAAGAATACCACGGTTTGTAGTACTCAGACAAATCTCCGGAACTTCCGCAGGACAAGCCAAATTTGCAGAAGTTCCGCAGAGCTTTGTTCACTATTGCAAAAATGAAAACGTTGAAAATCGGAACTTCTGCAGGATTTTCATGCCAAACTGGTTGAAAACCGGAACTTCCGCAGGACCTTCTTCAAAATCCTGCGGAAAT